TTCATAGTAATCGGGGAATCACGATCTGCAGAAGTTGCTTTTGAAACTGAATTTGCGGAGGCAGTCAATTCGCTTTCTAAGAAAGCGAGCCTACGAACGCTGAATTATAAGCCCACATTTGCTGCAGCATACAGATCAAATTTGGCATACTTAGTTTGCATACAGGTGGTTCAGTCACATTGCTCTAGTTACTGGATCCTCGAGAGAACCAATTCTGAGTATCACTCTGAAGGAAAGGGAGTGCTAATAAATGTATGTAAATTAAATTTTCGGGACGAGTGGCGTAGTGGTATGAGGCACCGCTATGACCAGATCGACCAGATCAAGGTTCGATCCTCACCCAGGGCCACCCAATCCTCCACCCTGGTATCAGAGCAATCTGGGGGGATAAAAGCACTTGATAATCATCTGGCCTCCGCAACATTGTATAAGGCCTGACGCATTCTCATGCCTCTTCGATTAAGAAGTGGAAATCGGAGCATGCCTGCAGAGGGTATTGAAGACACCGAACCTATAACCTTTTGATATAAAAATTCTACGAATTCCACTACTAACTGAGTATCAAGAGTAACGTATAATGCTTTGCTCTATTCAAGAGCTGCTAGCATCAAAACAGCAGCATTCGCCGTTGCCATGGGAACAGCGTAGCGATTTTGAAAACTCAGCCTTCTGCAATCTTCTGCCAAAATGTCAAATTTTATTGTTTCATACTCCATCTATGATTCTAAAACTGTCTTAGAATCACTTGTTTAGCTCAGCTTTTAGTTTAGTGCGCAGTTTAGTAAACATGTTGTATACTTACGCGACATTTCAACTCTCAGTGGAGAAAATGATGCGAAAATGATTTTGTTCAAACAGATTCATCCGTTCTATAGACAAATGAGGACCACACAATACTTGCATATTATATCAGCTCGAAAAAACCAAAAAATCCAAGCCAAGTTTGAAATAGTCTAATACTCAATCTCAAGTGAAAAAACGCCTCGCACTTTGGCTAAGTAGAATTCACTGAGCAAGAGTAACTCAAGCTCAAAATTTCGACTTTGCAATCACGTTAAAATGAAATTCAATGGGCCTATGGTGGTAAAGACAAGACTAACAATTTATACGCAGCTTATCATTATATTCTTATTTTTTATACTATTCATTTTTGCATTACTGGGGCGCGGACCCCAAAAGCGGCTCCCTTCCTCTGGAAACCGAGAATTTTTGGAAGTGGTCTGTTCAAATCAG